AACTGTTATGTATATGTTTTGTACTGGGCCGCATATAAGGAGCCCTGATGGCCGCTGCCTCACCTGTCGGTAGATGGGGTACACCTGCTGCAGAACGTCCCCGAAGCTGCTGTTCTCCGGTGCTCTGTCCACAGATGGAGCAGGAAGCAGGTTGAAGAGGTTCTTCTCGAAGAACGGAGGAGGAGGACCGAGAGGAAGCTCCGAGACTTTGTCCTGGGAACACATGTGAGTACCTTCATTATAGTAGCATTCCCTTAGTGGTATTAGTACTCACACTGTACTCTCTCTGTGTGCTGTTAGTACTGTCACTGTAGTAGTAGTGTGACTGCGTAGTATTAATATTCTCTCTGTGTCATAATTGTAGTTTTACTCAAGTAGTTTTCTAACATTTTGGTATCAGTACTTTAACTGTAGCAGTATTTCTACTGGGTTTTGATGTACATTCCGTAGAGGCAGTGTGAATCTCCTGTAAACTCATGACATCATCCTCCATAAAGGTGAGTCCCACCTGTGCGATGGCTCGTGCCAGGCCTCGGTACTTCTGCAGGTACGCACTGAGCGTGTGCGGGCCGTAGATTGTGGACGCGCCTTCGTACCGCTGCACCTGAGTAACAAGTACGTATTTTTACGTATTTTGCTTTCTTTGAAACTGTGTAGCAGCAGCCTCTGAACACTACATTTCCCATGAGCCTCGGCGGTGGTTTACCTGATACTCTTCATAGGTGGTGATGTAGTGAGTGTAGATGTTACTGAGGCCAGCTAGCACCACCTCGGTGTCCTTGAACGCCCCCTCAGACTCCAGCTCCTAACAGGAAATACACACAAAGTGACGCTACCTGTCACAGGTGAGCAGCGCTTGAGTTCACGTTGTCCCACCTGTTTGACAGCTTCTCGTAACCTCCTTCCCGACATGGTGCTGTGAGAGGGAAAAGGGAGCAGGGGGTATAGTACCTTTTACTGTACTTTGTTCTTCCCTACATTTGTGTGACAGCTTTCATTAATTTTCATATCAACAAAACTAAATATCATCTAATTCAGGATGATGCACATTGATATTGAATATTTTCATCAGTATTGGTGGAGTTACGTCATCTCTCCAGGAACCGCTACCACGGCAACAGAGCCGATGGTGATGATCTGAACGTCAACAATTTGAGGATGCCACGGCAGAGGCCAGTTCATCTGCGAGCACACACACACACACACATATTTAACTTCCACTTTCTTCACATCAT